GAGGGACTTAAAATTCATATAAGTCCAAAATGCATATGTCAAAACAATAAAAGAAGTATCTAACCTGAAAGCTGTATTGATAGTCTACCGAACTGAATTGATCGGATTAAAGAGACACATTCACAACGAAATAGCAGCTACCATAAGTGATATTTAAAAGATGTTATAATTATAAATAACTGTAACAAATTAAGACAGGAATGGAGAGACGAGACTCTCATAAAATATCAATTAAAGAAGACACGGGAGAATCAATGTAAGGGGGAGATGCGAGGAGCCACAGCATGGTGCATTAACGACAATGCAAAACTTACTCAGAAAACTTTTACCTTAGTGTACCCTGCTTTTGTTTGTGAAGTCCTCAGTAAAAGTCCCCATATTATAACCAGATATACTCCGGTATACCTGGGACAAAACACTTTTTAGACAACCTGTGTACAATTCAAAAGGGGCTCACCACACCCACACTATTTTTGCCAATGACGACAACATTCGTGTTAATTTTGATAACGCCCACACATTACACCACTGTGACACCAGCCAGCCTGAAATATCTTGAACAATTAGAAATATTGAAGGCCTTCAGAAGGGGCATGGCAATTAATTATAAGGAGATGGTCTCACTTTTGACAGTGGGAGGGCATTCTGTGACCTCTTGTAAGTCTTGAATTAAGATGTACATTTTGTTTTTTAATCCCGATAATATTTTAAATAAAAAAAAAATGTTAAATGTTGCAATAGACATGCATATATTTTACAATGTTTACAATTTTTAAATTTATGTTCTATTTATTCGGATTAAAGAGACAGACATTTACAAAAATATATAAAACAGCTACCATATTTGATATTTGCAATTATGTTCTATTTTTTAAAAATGCATTCGTTTATATCTGCATTCTTTGAACCTGAGGATGACCATTTAAAATGGAAGAAAACATTTGTTCTTGTTTGATGATATTTATTTTTTGCTAGTTTTTTGGTATTTTCATGTAGCTGTGGTTATATATCTGTGATTTGTTATAGATGATAAACCTAGATAGTATCTTCATATTAAGTCTGACTACTGAATTAGCACCAATGATTTTAGGAATTATCAGGCTTTTACTAGTTGTATAGCTAAAGTATTTATGTAGAGTTTGTGTACTATTAAAATTAATTACTGTTTACAGCAACTAAGCTAGATTTCTTATTAAATCATTTACAGTGAACTCAAAATATAATTTAAACTTATATGTAATGCTTTTTTTCTTTAAACCCTTTCTGCCTGTGGGCACTAAGAGTGCCACTTTTAGCAAGCCCATTATGGGTTTGGCCATCTTCACAGTAGGGCAGCTGGGTGGTGAGGGATGGGGCCTGACATATCCTGATGGACCGTCCCGTCCACTCCTGAAAAGTTTCTGGGGATTTTTTGACTCATCTAGATTTTATCCCAGATCTTCAGAGCAGTAGGCTGCCACCTTCACTGCTCAGCCATCCGGCCATCTATATGTAATGCTATTGCAGTTATGCACTGTATGGTACACACATTATTGCAACGAAGTAGTGGCTGCGATGATTCAGTGAAATGAGAAAGTATTTTGTTACCCTGTAAAGCGTGTTTTCATGAGTCAAGTGAGGTGATAAATGACTTAAAAGTATTTACAACTGAGATGATTCATTTTAACATACTATATATGCAGTAATATATTCCAAACAGTTTGTTGTAGCCCCAGAATTAATAGAAAGTTTGCATAAGAAAAAATCACTGGAAAACAAAAAAGATATCTGTGAAAAATTGGATTAATCATGGAAGCTCAAGATATCTGTAATAATCTAACATATGAATTAAAATTAGGAAAGCTCATGAATTACAAGAAAATTAATTCAACAAACTGTTAGCAAAAGTTTCACCCAGAGTAAAAAATCTGATCAAAAGAAAATATTACATTAAAAATAGTCAGCATTCTTGAACCCATTCACATGATAGTATATGTAAATCATCAGTTGAGACACCAAACCTCTGAGCCTTCAGTACTTTTTGCAATTTAGATATGTATGTTGTTCAGATTGTATTTATTCTTGTCTTAAGTTTTTCATTGATTTCTATTCCTAATTCTTGAATGTCAGAAATTAATTTTAATAACAGTAGTTCTATAATAGCTTCTCTCTTTACAGGCTTTGCATCATAAATTCCAAAAACATACTTTTTCATAAACATTAATTAATTTTTCGTTAGACCTCTACCTTGTCACCATTTTAAAATATTAGGTGCATACCAGAATTATGTACTGTACAATGGCATTTAGCCATAACTTGTAACCAGTGAGTTCTGAATAAAACTTTTTATGTCACTTTTTAACATAATCCTCCTCTTTTTCAAAACACACTTGGCATCTCTTTAACCACTTGTCAAAGCACTGTGTGTACGCGTTTTCTGGAGTTCTTTGGAACCACAGGAAAACTGCAATACCAAGAACAGATCTTGATGAATAATGCATACCACAGAGTGAATCCTTCAGGTTTGTAGACAGGCTTAAGTTGCTTGAAGCCAGATCTGATGAGTATAGAGGATGCAGAAAGAATTTGATGGCCTTTTCTATCAGAAAATCTCTGATGACTTGAGCTCTGTGATTGCAGGCATAAAATGTTTGTCCAGCATATCTCTTGCATACTGATCAGTAATTGTGTCACAGTTTTCAGAAGTAGCAGGTGGCAAGGCAACCAGATTGTTGCTCATCTTTGGTAGAGTTTCTTTTACCTGAAAATTTTCAAGTTCACTTGTGAACTCTGCAGTCAGCAAAAACAGACTCGCCACAGCATCCATTAATTGCTAGTGAATATCTACCACTTTTCACCACAAACAAAAAAAATTTGATGACAGCCCACTGCTCATGAACTAAAACTCCATGCTTTTGGAAACAAGTTCACAAGAAATGTAAATTACTTAGCATCTGGCTTCTGGCACACTAATGGAACTTCACAAGTGACTGGTGAAGGCTTGTTCAAATTTGTCCCAAGAGGACCATCCTACATAATTTGCTGCAACCGCACTAGAGAGAAACAGTACCTAATTCTGGTATGCACCATGTACACAACTGAATGCAAAAATTAAACATTTTTTAACTCAGACTTTATTCAATTTTGTTGATCATCTAAATTGAATTATTGGTTTATATGTTCAATTTGTGATCAAGTCAATTAAATTTGACTGAGTTGATTGGCTAACTATACTTGTGAAAGTGCATCTTTAGGGCTGATACTTTATAAAGCTTGAATGTTGTTGTTCAATTTATGTTGATAATCTGTTATGCGAATGCTATAGCAAATCTTTTCTGGTGTATATTAATTTTAAATGTTAGATAGGATAGACTTGAATTTTTTAAATTATTGTTTAGGGTTAGTTTACAAAATTGAAAATTTCATCTTATTTTCCAAATCCTCTTAACAATCTTAACAATAATACAGTAATACCTAGACTTATGCGAACCCGGAGTTACGCAATTTTCAAATCTCATCGATTTGTCTTTTGGCAAGCGCCAAATGTGACAGAGGGCACTGTTTTTGAGCCAAGAAGGCTGCCAAAACAGGTAAGGAACCAATCATGCGTTTGTTCAATGCCTGAGCCGATTCAGTTTCTATCGGTGACTACTACTGAGAGGACCAAATGGAGAACAAATCATTATGTCAAATTCTAGACTATATCGTTAACAGGAAACGTTGTCTTGTAGAAGGTGAAGCCGTTTTGGATATATGAGACGTACAGTACAGTATATACACACACACACACAAAACATAATGTGTAATGTGTGCTACAAATTTTGACTGGCCTATGTTGTATAAGTGCTGAATGACTCAGCAGGATAGCCTTCAGATTGGCACTAATTTTAACTATTATGATAAATAAAACTGTTTTTATATTGGAACATGGTGTATACTGCTTATAATATTTAAATACTTCTCACCTGTTAACGTGTAATAAACATGCTATTACATGTTTACAAAAACCAGACAGCCCCGATTTGCACGTGCATTCTCCCTGTAATTGAGATGTATTAAAATGCCAATATCTGAGATTGCAACACTAAAGCAACAACATGAACTTCTCTGTTGTTGTTAGAGTTTAATCCACAAAATACGATGTGTCTAGCATTCAAAACAGCTTTATCTTCTACAAGCCAACGTTTCCTGTCGCCGATATAGTCTAGAATTTGACATAAATTCAATGATTTTTTCTCCATTTGGTCCTCGCAGTAGTCGTCACCGATAAAAACTGAACCGGCTCAAGCACTGAACAAACACGTGGTCGGCTCCTTACCTGTTTCGGCAGCCATCTTGGCTCAAAAACAGCGCCATCTGTCGGATTTGGCGCTTGCCATTTGTTTCAGCGCCAAGCAACTCTCGATTACTCATTCCCACCCACATTATTGTTCAGCTTACATGTTCAGACGTGTCGCGCGGAATTGACACATAGCTACAATTTATTTTGTGTTATTTATTTTTGTGTTTGTTATATCTACGGAGACTCGAGAGACTCTATGTGGTGATTTCTTGTAACCGTGAACGAATCAAAAGACGAGATAAGATTAAAAATTAATTAAATTAACGAGAACATTTATTAGCTTACATACATCCGACTTGGATTTTACACAAATTACGAAATTTTACCCCGACTTACGCTGTTATCGCTCGGTCCCACCTATCGCGTAAGTTCGGGGTATTACTGTATAAAGATATATATCAGGGATTAAGCTGTCTGTTGCCAAATTTGCAATATGTGAAAAATTCATTCATCTGATTATAATCTGGTGATTGGAGTGGCAAATAGCCACAGAGCAGTCTGCAAAAAAGGTCTCTTTGTGAAAATTGATTTTCAGGCAGCTTTTGAAGCATGGGCTGAGCAGCTACCAAAGATTCCGTTTTACTCAGATGTGCTGCTCGCATTATAGCACAAATTTTACTGTCAATAAACAAAAAGTTGCTTGAGAAACTCGATTATAAAAACTCTACTTTTCACTTACTGTGACTTTTTGTACCAACCAGAAATGAAAGGATGGTTTACAACATTAAAAAAAGCAATCTGGTGAATAAAAAATATATGTGACAAATAGATTTGTGGTTTCTATAAAAAAGCCAGAGTTACTCCTGTATAGTATAATAAATGCAGTTGTTATTTTTTATTGTATTAAAATTTTAAAAATGACCTTAAATTTATTGATACTATTCAAAAGTAAATAGGAAATTTTATTTTTCAGTTTTCATCATTTTGGAAGATCTTCCCCGAGGCGCAGATCGCCGAAAGAGATTCCGAGGGAGATCATTTATTTGCAGGAGGAGAGACAACCACTCCAGTTCCAGTTCATCTCGTTGAATTGCAACAAAAGAAAGTACAGTACATAATTGGAGCGACCCCATGGGTTACCAAAGAAGCATAACTTCTTGGCAAAATAGTGTTTTATTTGCCACAATGAATGTTTGTAATAGATAAAATATTTTCCAATGCAACAGAATTCTTATTTTTTAAACCACATGTCTTTAATAAATAATCTGAAATTTATCATTTGAAATAAAAATCAATTTTACTTTAAAATAGATAATTTACTGTATTTTATATAACTGATATTATTTCAGTTTCAATTGCTAATTTAATAGGCACATTAAGATAAATAATTAGAATAATGTTTGTTTATTGATATGTTATTTACATTTGCCTATCTATCTATACATGATATATATAAACAAAAATTTCTCCCTTGCCTTTAATTACATTTAGTAATCAAGCTTTCCATTGATTTTACAATTCTCATTAGTTAAATTTGTGAAGTATCATCATATTTAAGTTGGTATTGATAGAATTTTTATTTTTTTGTTTACAGAATTTAATCAATTTACCTGGGAACAGCATGATGATGGGATTTCTGATTTTGATCAAACTCAGTGAGGATATATTGCATCCCCAATAAGTTACAACACTCAAACGAGAAAATTTATGGTTAAGTAATTTGCAATTTTCACCTTGGAGTATCAAACCAAGTGGCCATAGCTAGGGGTGCACTGGATTTGTAATCATAGAGGTTAGTGTTTCGAATCTCATTAGTGTTTAGTTAGTTTTTTTCTCCATAAAAAACTAATTTTTATTTTATTCTTGGTACTTTTTAATTTATTATATTGTCAGAGAGAAAATTGATTTATATTTAGAAAACTACAAATGCACACAATAAACAAGATAATAAAACAGTAAAATCCATCTGTTTCAAGAAACAAGTTGATGTCAAAAGCAATTAATAAATGCTACCTGACAATATTTATTTAAAAACAAAACANATTTTACTTTAAAATAGATAATTTACTGTATTTTATACAATTGGTCTTATTTCAGTTTTAATTGTTAATTTAATAGGCACATTAAGATAAATATTAATAAACAAACATTATTTACATTTGCATATCTATATATGACGTAATTAAAGGCAAGGGAGAAATTTTTGTTTATATACATTTAGTAATCAAGCTTTTCATTGATTTTACAATAAATTATCATTGGTTAAATATGACGATACTGTACTTCACAAATTTATGTAGGTATTGATCGAATTTTTTTTGTTTAGAGAATTTAATCAATTTACAAGGAATTGGGGTTTCCGATTTTGATCAAACTCAGTGAGGCTATATTGCAATCCCAACAACTGACATGAGCCAAGCAGTAAGTTGCAACACTCAAAATTAAACGAGAAAATCCAGGGTGAAAATTGAAAATTAGTTAACAATAGAGTATCAAACATTAAGCACTGATATTTTCAAATGCGATACAGTACTCATGATTCATGCAAATTAGTTCATGACGGAGAAGTGTTTTTAAATGTTAATCAAGTTTGTTTCTCCAGCGAGATGTGTAAATCTTATAGGAAAAATCTGCATATATTCAATGCGCACACTGCAGAAATGTTTGTTTCACATGCTTCTACAACAATTATCATCCACAAAACTGTGCTTCCGGAAAGCCAACATATTGAATAATGTTAATAAAAATGACACCTTTATTAACAAAATTGGCCTGCGGTAATGACGATTTTGTTTACATCTTATCATCATCTCAAATAAATTATAAATAAATGCTAGTATGAATCGCATGTATACACGAATATTTGAAAATAATTTTTAATAAATATAATAAATTAAAAAATAACCAAGAATAAAGTGAAAATTTACTTTTAGGGGAAAAGAAATTAAACTTTACTAACGAGATTCGAGCCACCAGTCTCTAAATGTTGGAAATTCTAATGGTTATAAGTGATTTGCAATTTTTAACCTCAATTTCTCAGTTAATTTTGAGTATTGCGCTGTACTGCTTGGTATGTCAGTCATTGGGGATGCACTATAGCCTCACCGAGTTTGATCAAAATCGATCACGACCAAAGTCATGCCGCCCTCTTGTTATTTTGGAAAATATTGAATTTGAAAATAACTAATCGATTATATTATTATTAATTTAGGGTTGTCTTCTATAAAATTAACGAGCATCTCGAACTGGCGACTTGTAATTCGCTGGCTTAGTTGGCCTTTCTACGAAATTTTAAAACAAAACGATTTCACTAGCGCTAGTACACGACAATGCTAAAAACCACGTGCTTCGCTTAGAAAATATCTGGTTGCAGTCACGTGACAAAAATACAATGTTAACTAAACTGTGATTAGTTAAAGTGTAACAGCCATGGGCGTAGCCAGAGTTTTGTTATGGGGGGAACCTAATAGAGGCCGACCTAACACAAAATTGAATTATTTCATTATTATTATTATTATATATTTATTATTTAGCATTAAGTTTTTTTTTTCTTTTTNTCAGCAACAGAAATGTCATTAAATTATTTTCAAATATTTTTTGTTTTTTCTATGAAATTTTAAATGTTTCTTATTTTAGTTTTTGTTAAAAATTAATGAGTTTTTATGTTTAATTGTGAAGTTTGAATGTTATTTAAATAGATAATGAAATAATAAAGTTATGTTTTACGTTTTTTATATAAAAAATAAAGCAATAATAAAAAAATCAATTTATTATAGATAATTTAACAAATATAAATTGTTATTAAAAAAATGGGGTCACAAAAAATTATGAAATATTTGATGAGCAAGTATGAAAAAGTTAACCGTGAACGTATTTTCTCAGATTTACGGTTGAATGAACTGGTTCTATATTAACCAACTAATTCGATAGACTTGTAAATTCCCTACACTTAAGATTGATAATAGCGTGTAAATACGTTACATTTAAAGAAAGTGTATCAATCAGTTGTTAAGATTTGCATTTGTTAAAACTTTTTATATTGATGGGCCACATGAAGAAAAACGGCTTCCGGGAATTTTTCAAGCTTAAATAAACTTGAGCTTCAATTAACTTCGGGACTTTAGAGTACACACAACCAATATATCTAATAGAAATTAGTGGAAGGCTCAATTCTAAAATGAACCAAGTCCAAACGGACTATTTTATGGAGAATAAGTTATTTAGGAATTATTACAGTACTGTATTTTAATTTATCTTAAAAAAAAATCAAAATATAGTAATGGGTACCACGTATATATGGTGCAGTGTATAATGCGTCATTTCTTGAAACATAAACTGCAGAAAAATTACAAATAACTTAAGCACAATTTAGGTAATAAAAAAATTTGATTTCGATTTGGTTCAGTTTAGAATTAAACCCTTGATACAAATTGTAATAATTTTTAATTGATGATTTATACTCGTGTGGACTTCCAACGGAACTTTGAACTAATTCGTGTATTGTCTATAAGTATGTAATCTATACTCATTATCTGCCTTTTTCTGTAAATTGCTCCCTTTCAGAAATGATAGCTTTAGGCAATTTTATCCATTAACGGTGTTTAGTGCTTTATTCTTTGTTAAAATGTTTAAAACAGCTCGTAGTTCGATATCCTTTAGTCTTTTCTCTATAACCACCCTTTAGAGTGGTAGCGTAATTTATAGATAAAAATTAATAGGATTTAGTACATTCCATATTAATGGAATCGTTAGTAATACTTCGGTTACACCAAAGTAACCTATAATATATAGATCAGTAAAATAGTATACTATACTGCGGTGGCGTGCCGTGACGTTTGATAATAGGAAAGGTGTGTTTCTGTAAGAAGCCGACATCCAGGGGCAATCAGTCAATTGCGCGTTAGTGATGGTCTACAGCAGTGTTTCTTAATTAACAGGAGGGCCGCGGTTCCTTGGGGGTCCGTAAGAAGTTTGCCAGGGGGCCGCCAAATTATGCAAAATTTCCTTCAAAATATAATAAAAAGAAAATTTATGTATAATCGAATATCACATTGAAAAGTGAAATAAGAAAGATAAAGTTTTCATATTTAGTTTTTTTTTATATTTAACAAATTAGTTGAGGATATTCAGCAACAGAAATCTCATGAAATTATTTTCAAATATTTTTTGTTTTTCTATGAACTTTTAAATGTTTCTTATTTGATTTTTTGTTAAAAATTAATGAGTTTTTATGTTTAATTGTGAAGTTTGAGTGTTATTTAAATAGATAATAAAATAATAAAGTTATGTTTTATGTTTTTTATATAAAAAAATAAAGCAATAATAAAAAAATCAATTTATTATAGATATGTAAAACACGCTCAGGAAAACCTTTAAATATGCAGCCGTATTTATTAAATTCTAACGTTTTCGGTCATATTCAATGACCTTTCTCAAGAAAAACAGAAAAAATCGAACTCCGAACTTGAATTAACGATACAAGCGTTTTGGAACGTTTTTTAAAAAATAATATTCTACTGGAATAACGCCATCTCTATATAACGGTTGTCATTATATAAATACATTAGCTATTAGAACGTTAAAAATATGACGTTCCGGATATAAAATAAAAATAAAAATAAAATACAGACATAAAATACCAAACATACACAATGTGTTTAGCAAATACATTAAATTAAGAATTTCTGCCCTTAAGTAAGTTGCCGCTGTCCATCGTTCTTGACTTTATAATATACTTGCTCGCCAGGCTGCCGATACTTT